ATCGAAACTAATACACCTTCGGTTATCCGGATAAAGATACCTCGCTTGACTCTGTGAATGCTTAAATTTTAAATACAATTAAAGGTCAGATTCCAAGACGTCAAACTGACATTAAGGAATCTCGAATCTGATTAAATGACGCCCTTTTGTAATTAATTCTCTCCATTCTGATTACCATTTTCAACAACTTTTTAAAATTCCAATTTGAAATAAATTTTAGGGAAACTCATTTAGCTTTAAATATAACCCATTTTTTTCAATTGTGGACTTCCCAGCACTATTTTCTTAGCAAACGTTTCGGCCTTTTCTTTGTTCTGAGAAAGAAAGATACAACCGAAATATGGTAACACGTAATTATTTAACTACGATAACTAAGTACAGTTATCTGTTCACAATGAGACTTCCTGTCTGTACCCCACAATGAATGTAAACAGATCTTATTTGTTAGGTTATCATCAGGGGCGGATTTAGGGGGGGGGGGGGTGGTGCTGCGGACGCCTTCTTTTCTCAGAGATTTGACCCTCTGCCGACCCAAAGGGTCCCCCTTTGAACTATTATGAGATATACATTTTCAGTTGACGGACCCCAAATTTTTTCTAAAGGCGCCTTTGGCGCTAAATTATACTAACGCTACTTTTTGTTCAAAAAATTCCAAAAACTGACTAAAAACGTTTTTTTTTGGCATGTTTTTGAAAATCCGCCATTCCCTCCCCCCACTCGATGTATACACTATCTATTGTTTTAATCAATGTTTTAAGATTTGTATTTGGGTTCCGATCACAAAGGATAAGCTCTTGCTTTTAAATTGCGTGTTTTCATAAATAATTATTTCATCACTAGCTTTAATTTATTCACATGCAAGTTTAGTAATAAACAAAAACTGCGGAATCCACTTACAATTTGCGAAATCCGCTTGCATTTGCGGCTTCAGCTTACATTTTCGGTTTAGAATTACATTTCTTGGAATCCTGTTACAATTGCGGAATCCAGAACTAGCCTGCTTTGCTGATTGGCAATTCCCCAACAAAACAAATATGCCGACAAAATTTACGTCACAAGGAATCCACGGAACTTTTGTAATCGACGAATCCACTAACATTTTGGAAAATGTTTAAAGATTTGTATCTGAAACCTTGGAGCATACAGACACAAGGTTGTGCGCCTATCAAGTGCACAGTTTGGCCTCATATTGGCAAAAGGAAAACAAATTATCTCTCAACCATAGCTAGTTTAATCCGTCAGACCCCTCTCCTGAGTTTTATCGATAAACACTGATTATATCGGGAAAATTTTGTCTGAATTTTGTCATTATAATTCATTATTGTCGTAAATTTAGACCAAGAAATTGTTCGTTTTGTCATTATAATCGACTGTTTCCGAAAAACTCATTATCGACTATTTCCTTATAATCCAATTCAATCTATTTGTACAATTTTCTAATTGATTATGATGGATTATAATCTCTACATTTTGTACAAAACTTAGTTGTAAAATTTTCAATATATTCTGCAATACTTACGGCCAACTCGAAAGCTAAACCTACTCAGTTTTATAATGCCCGTTTAATCGGGCATTATAAACTCGTTTTTCGCTACTCATTCGTTCCTTCCCCAAGTTTGTTCTTCCCCCGTGTCCCCCCCCCCCCCCCCCCCCCAAAAAAAAAATTACCCCCCACACACAATATACCACCCCTTTTCCACACATTTGACCCCCCTCCGTTAAACCCTACCTCCCTCCAGCTTACCCCCACCTTCCAAGCTTACTACCACCAGTTCAACCTGCCCCCGTTAACGCCCTCTAAGCAAATGTACACCCCCGCTTATACCTCTGGGGGCGTATAAATGGGGGAGAGGTGGGGATGTAAGCGGGGAGGTTTAAGCGGGGAAGGGTGGAGTGTGGTGCTAAGCGTGGGGAGTGTATATTGGAGGGACGACAAGGAACGACAAAGGAAGGTAACTTGGATTAGGGAAAGACAATAAAGATAAGCAAAAAACGAGTAATTGTCAACTTGAGAAAATTGTGAAACCAAAAATTGAAAATGCGATAAATCATTTTTAAGCCAAACCAACTCTCTTTTAATCTGTAATCGAGCCAAAAGCAATTGTTATGTTTTGACCACACTGTTCCTTGTATAAAATTTTTGTACATTATAAGTGATTATAACCCTTGATTATAACCAATAATCCATTGAATACTTGATTATATTCGATTGAAATGGATTTTACAGAATCGAAGTTTTTTTTTGTATTTTATAGAGACTGAAATTGAAAGTCCAATTTAATTGATTTATAATGATGAAACTCCAGTACGGGATACTCTTGGTGACTATGGATTTTCAAGCAGAAGCATCCTTACTTGTTGCAATGCAGGTCTAGTCATCTTAAAAATACTGCTAAGTTCTTAGAGACTCTTGATAATTTTTCTCACAATTTTCAAGATCTTTAAAAACAACAAAAACTTTTGCAAATTCTAATGATGAAAATGTTATCTAGTTTATTAGAAGTACTAACAAAAAAGCCAACAAAGTACAGAAAATAAACCGAATACAGAAAGTCTACAGAAATTGAATTTTGTCAGGATGTGGTTAATTTATGGTCGCATTGCTCCATTTTATAGCTCATATATTCTGATTCACCAAATTTTACATCTTTTATAAAGAAAATGCTACCGCTCATAAAATCTCCATTTTTTAAAAGTCAATTTTTGCATTCTTTGTTTTTTTCTTTCAAAATTTCGGTCTTTTTTAGGGATTTTTGCTCACCTTCAAGATCCTTGACACAACTTGCCATGTTTTCAAAACAAAATTTAAGGTTTTTCAAAAAGTTATCAGCTGAGCTCTGGGAGATAGCTGCTCGCATCAAGAAAATTTTTTTTTCTGACCTGGAATACTTCATATCTAAAATAAATTTCTGGTCAGGAATTCTTTGTGAAATGTTTTATTAAAGCAGGAATTTTCTTAATATTTTTCATTTCTAATCTTATTTCTGATCAGAAATGAGCTAAGTCTAGGCTCTTTCTAGCTAGAAAAAATACTCCGAATGGGACTCGAACTCCCATCCTGCTACTTTGTAGGCGGTTGTGTCAACCGCTAGGCCCCATAACCGCATAAGGTAAGATAGTTTTAGCAATCTAATGCAAAGCTAGGGTTATTGTGTATACTCGAAGCATGTTTGTCTCGTTGCGGTTGAGCAGTGAACAGATTTCCGGTTTTTGATTTCCGGAAGTTGTTTACTTCTAAACTAAGAAAGAAATAGATGATCAGAAAACTTTTTTCGACGAGGTTTGTTATCCTCAGACATTGTTTGACTGGCTAGGTGACACTTTTTTGACGTTTTTTGAGGCATTTGAAAAATAGTGAAACGCTCATGTAAGTTAGGAACAATTTAGACCTGCTAGAGACAGTTTTCAATTCCTGATAACTTAATAAATTTTATCGCATAAGAATAATCTTCATTTTCAATTCATCAGATAGTACAAAAAATAGAAAAATTTTGTTAGAATAGAGTCGGTCTTTTAAAAGTCGATTACACGCCGATATTTGTCTGATGAAAAACATCAAAAGCAATTATTTTGTCGCTTTTTTAAAAGCGAGAACAAAAATGAATGCATACAGACAGCAGTTTCAAGGACTCTTTCATGGTAAAATCCTTGAGAACGCTGCTTGTGTGAACTCATTTTTGTGTTCTCTTTTAAATAAAGCAACAAAATGATTGCGTTTGGCGTTTTTGTTTGTTGAGACACATATCGACTTCTTATAACATGCTTTTGTAGAAACAACTCCATTTTTATCAGAGTTTATACATTTTTGTACCCTTTATGAATTTTGATACCGTGCATTGAAAATGAATAAATTTCATCTGCGATTATTTTATATGAAAAAATCAGGAACTGAAAACTCTGAGGTTCATTCAGAATGTAACTCAGATAAAAAGTTGGTTCAAATGATGCTTTTTCAAAGCCAATATTGTCATTTTTACTTAAAGTTTTTCGATGGTGAATTTTTTTTATTAGATTTTTTCAGTTGAATCATGAAAATTTTTTCGATCTTAATTTTTTATTTTTTTTTAGAAAAATTTTACCAAATGGTGGCCCAAAAATATTTCATGGATAAACGGCATTACGTACACGGCCCTGGACCCTGATGCAAGCATTCTTGGTTCATTTTTCTATTGCGAATGACAAAAAAATAATTTTGTTTGGATACGCTTTTTTCGTTCCGACTTTTGCAGAAATAATTATGATAGCGTTTTCGACGTTATTTTATATTCATCGTGAAATTTATTGTTGACCAGAGCTCAAAATTAAATAGATACTTTTCGATAGATTAGCATTCTCCTCCCCAAAGCAGTTTTTTTCAATTTATCTCTTTTTGCCAAAAAAACCCAAGTAGGTTACAGAAAAATTGGAACTTTTAGGGCGTCACCTTGGTATGAGCAGTCAGTCGTGCTTAATTTAATAAATTTCTTGTGTTCAGGTGTTACGATAATAAATAGCATGATCAATCAGAAATGGGTAGACTTGAAGCTAAAGTTGAAGTTACTAGAGTTCAAGCAAAGCTTTTTATTTAGAGACACGTAATTATTTGGTTATAATTAAAATTTCTGTAGTAAGATTTGAATTCATTGCCCGCTGCACTGCACAGCAAAGTGATTATAATTAATTGACATATTCCTATTTTTGTCGGTACACCTATAGTAACCAATATATTGTGCTAGTTTTTTAGCAAATCTTTTTTAATATTTTCTTTGCTCTCGAGAAGAAAAGGAAAAAGCTTTGTTTGTGATTAATTGTTTTCTTTTCCCTCGGGAAAAATACAGGACTCGATAAATCACAGAGGCTGTCACTGTTGGATAAACAGGCTTTTCAGTCCTGTTTTTTCATAGTCTTTCAGCCATTTTTCAACATTTCCGTCTTCTTTCAATCTCAAAACCAAGTAATTATGGCAAGACTAATTTTTAAAAGAAGGCTAATATGTTGTTGTGAAAAAATAATGACTTATTTGCAAGGCAGCGAAACATTAAATTTGACGTCGTGCGATAAATCCACATTTGACTGTTTGCTTTTCCTTTCGTTCAATCCTTACTCTACCCCTCATTATTTTTAATTGAAATATTCCCTTTCAATTTCCCATGGGCGGAGATTTTTCACTTGGCATTTTTTTCTGTTGTCAAATCTACGTGTCAGAGCTTCGTTCAACTGCACTAGTTATATGCCGCGGAAAATATATAACGAAATCGATGACAAAAAAGAGTACAGTAAACACTCTCCCTCCGGTATATAGCTATTTACGTTTAGATTTGCGAAATTGGATGATGGTAAAGAACTGCAGAACAACAGTCAAAATCACCCTTTTATTCATTCCTGGGGGAAATAAATGGTAAATTGAGATGATGATTTGCTATGATTTGGGTGGCCGTTCTACCTGGAATGAATACCTACTAATCTCTCGATGGAACTGAGAGAAGAGGAGTTTAGACTATGGTTATAGTTAGTATACAGAATGACTGCTGTTATAAGTAGTTATATATTTGCTCGTACTAATTGACAGGAAAGTCAGCGATTCCTATAGTTCTCCTGTCCGTTCTCCCTAATGGACCTCGTGTTTCCGCCCGTCGTTTAAACCCGGCCTCCCGCTTTTTGTTCAACTTTGTTCAACCACCGGGCGTTCTCCATTCTGTTCACGCATTTACCTACTTAAATGTTCCATTAATCCCTCCCGCCCGTCACCCGTCCTTCTTATTTCCTCATTTGACTTGCACGGCTTTAGACTTCAAATTCGCCTAATGAACGTCATGTCATTTCCACATAGTTCTCTCTCTCTTTTCTACAGTGTTATTCTATAGTGACATTTAATAAACATTAAGATGGATTTATTTTAGTTTATTATTCTCCTTTTTCCGTCTTCTGAGCATATTTACACTTTCAAACACTGAAAAGAGCCAACATTTTTCCATAAGTAGAAGATGAACACTGATTTCTGACGCAAGCACTGAAAAACTTGAGCTTAATTGATTATAGTTGCACTTCATTATGTAGAGTTATTTGCCGCATAATTAGCGTTTACAAAATTTTACATCAGCAATGTTTGACCTAATGCACTGAGATTTTCAATTTCGTCATTATCCGCAGGTAAAAAAGAACCCATTTAAACCGCTGCTACCATCATTTTCTGTCTTAGAAACAAAATTAAAAAAAAAACAACTATAGTTTTTTAACAACGGAAAAAATTTAGCAAAACACCGTCGCAAAAACAGTCTTTGCGTCTTAAAATTCCAAAATTACTTCTACAACCCCGGCATATCGAAATATCTTAAATTTTGCCAACCCTATAAATAAAAGCATTGGATTAGCGCTAGAGCGTTCTATGTAAAATTCGAACTTCGCTGCATTCTTATTGGTATCTAATTGACAATTGCCCTTCTTTCTTGTACGGGGATGGGGGGGGGGGGGGGTAATTGTTAACTAGATCCTATATATTTGTTAAGAAAACCACAAAAACACATGAAGAAAAAATTTTCCCTACAAAGTTTAGTTTTTTTTTCTGCGTCAGATGGCAAGATCTGCAGCTTTAAAATGTGTTTACGAATTTTTACATGATTTGGAAATGTTTTCAAGCTTTAATACATCCAACATGGAGTGACGAGATATAAAAAAGTTCATCTGAGGAGTGTCAAAATATATCAAACCGCTCAATTTTAAGAAACATGAAAAGCTTGAAGCCTTCTGAATCAGGGCTGAAAGAGCTTGCATAAGTTTCTATCGTGATATATGTACAAATGTTTTTCGATCCTTACAAGACAATTTTTTTGTTGGAGAAAAAGCGGAATATAAATGCTCTCAGATGTGATTTTTCCAGACTCGTTTCCCTTGTCAGAATTGCAGTTTTCATGGACACCAAAATAAGTGGTAAATGAGACATTAACGAAAATACTGATGAAAGTGAGTAACAAGTCGAAAAAATCTACATTCAAAATTTTTTTAAAGTTCCTTATTTGAGGCTTGTTGGCACATTCTAGACTTCTACGTTTCCAATTTGTTCTCTCAAAATGTGAGAAAAAAACTGGATTACGCTGCTCTCTGCCAATTTTTTCTATAAAACAAGTGGTGTGCTCAAATTTTTTTTGACCTTCCGTCGGTTTTTAGATTTACAGTCAGCTTTCGTAGCATTTTTGATCTCTGCCGAAACCCCAGGGTAAAACTGACATTAAGGAATCTCGAATCTGATTAAATGACGCCCTTTTGTAATTAATTCTCTCCATTCTGATTACCATTTTCAACAACTTTTTAAAATTCCAATTTGAAATAAATTTTAGGGAAACTCATTTAGCTTTAAATATAACCCATTTTTTTCAATTGTGGACTTCCCAGCACTATTTTCTTAGCAAACGTTTCGGCCTTTTCTTTGTTCTGAGAAAGAAAGATACAACCGAAATATGGTAACACGTAATTATTTAACTACGATAACTAAGTACAGTTATCTGTTCACAATGAGACTTCCTGTCTGTACCCCACAATGAATGTAAACAGATCTTATTTGTTAGGTTATCATCAGGGGCGGATTTAGGGGGGGGGGTGCTGCGGACGCCTTCTTTTCTCAGAGATTTGACCCTCTGCCGACCCAAAGGGTCCCCCTTTGAACTATTATGAGATATACATTTTCAGTTGACGGACCCCAAATTTTTTCTAAAGGCGCCTTTGGCGCTAAATTATACTAACGCTACTTTTTGTTCAAAAAATTCCAAAAACTGACTAAAAACGTTTTTTTTGGCATGTTTTTGAAAATCCGCCATTCCCTCCCCCCACTCGATGTATACACTATCTATTGTTTTAATCAATGTTTTAAGATTTGTTTTTGGGTTCCGATCACAAAGGATAAGCTCTTGCTTTTAAATTGCGTGTTTTCATAAATAATTATTTCATCACTAGCTTTTATTTATTCACATGCAAGTTTAGTAATAAACAAAAACTGCGGAATCCACTTACAATTTGCGAAATCCGCTTGCATTTGCGGCTTCAGCTTACATTTTCGGTTTAGAATTACATTTCTTGGAATCCTGTTACAATTGCGGAATCCAGAACTAGCCTGCTTTGCTGATTGGCAATTCCCCAACAAAACAAATATGCCGACAAAATTTACGTCACAAGGAATCCACGGAACTTTTGTAATCGACGAATCCACTAACATTTTGGAAAATGTTTAAAGATTTGTATCTGAAACCTTGGAGCATACAGACACAAGGTTGTGCGCCTATCAAGTGCACAGTTTGGCCTCAAATTGGCAAAAGGAAAACAAATTATCTCTCAACCATAGCTAGTTTAATCCGTCAAACCCCTCTCCTGAGTTTTATCGATAAACACTGATTATATCGGGAAAATTTTGTCTGAATTTTGTCATTATAATTCATTATTGTCGTAAATTTAGACCAAGAAATTGTTCGTTTTGTCATTATAATCGACTGTTTCCGAAAAACTCATTATCGACTATTTCCTTATAATCCAATTCAATCTATTTGTACAATTTTCTAATTGATTATGATGGATTATAATCTCTACATTTTGTACAAAACTTAGTTGTAAAATTTTCAATATATTCTGCAATACTTACGGCCAACTCGAAAGCTAAACCTACTCAGTTTTATAATGCCCGTTTAATCGGGCATTATAAACTCGTTTTTCGCTACTCATTCGTTCCTTCCCCAAGTTTGTTCTTCCCCCGTGTCCCCCCCCCCCCAAAAAAAATTACCCCCCACACACAATATACCACCCCTTTTCCACATTTGACCCCCCTCCGTTAAACCCTACCTCCCTCCAGTTTACCCCCACCTTCCAAGCTTACTACCACCAGTTCAACCTGCCCCCGTTAACGCCCTCTAAGCAAATGTACACCCCCGCTTATACCTCTGGGGGCGTATAAATGGGGGAGAGGTGGGGATGTAAGCGGGGAGGTTTAAGCGGGGAAGGGTGGAGTGTGGTGCTAAGCGTGGGGAGTGTATATTGGAGGGACGACAAGGAACGACAAAGGAAGGTAACTTGGATTAGGGAAAGACAATAAAGATAAGCAAAAAACGAGTAATTGTCAACTTGAGAAAATTGTGAAACCAAAAATTGAAAATGCGATAAATCATTTTTAAGCCAAACCAACTCTCTTTTAATCTGTAATCGAGCCAAAAGCAATTGTTATGTTTTGACCACACTGTTCCTTGTATAAAATTTTTGTACATTATAAGTGATTATAACCCTTGATTATAACCAATAATCCATTGAATACTTGATTATATTCGATTGAAATGGATTTTACAGAATCGAAGTTTTTTTTTGTATTTTATAGAGACTGAAATTGAAAGTCCAATTTAATTGATTTATAATGATGAAACTCCAGTACGGGATACTCTTGGTGACTATGGATTTTCAAGCAGAAGCATCCTTACTTGTTGCAATGCAGGTCTAGTCATCTTAAAAATACTGCTAAGTTCTTAGAGACTCTTGATAATTTTTCTCACAATTTTCAAGATCTTTAAAAACAACAAAAACTTTTGCAAATTCTAATGATGAAAATGTTATCTAGTTTATTAGAAGTACTAACAAAAAAGCCAACAAAGTACAGAAAATAAACCGAATACAGAAAGTCTACAGAAATTGAATTTTGTCAGGATGTGGTTAATTTATGGTCGCATTGCTCCATTTTATAGCTCATATATTCTGATTCACCAAATTTTACATCTTTTATAAAGAAAATGCTACCGCTCATAAAATCTCCATTTTTTAAAAGTCAATTTTTGCATTCTTTGTTTTTTTCTTTCAAAATTTCGGTCTTTTTTAGGGATTTTTGCTCACCTTCAAGATCCTTGACACAACTTGCCATGTTTTCAAAACAAAATTTAAGGTTTTTCAAAAAGTTATCAGCTGAGCTCTGGGAGATAGCTGCTCGCATCAAGAAAATTTTCTTTTCTGACCTGGAATACTTCATATCTAAAATAAATTTCTGGTCAGGAATTCTTTGTGAAATGTTTTATTAAAGCAGGAATTTTCTTAATATTTTTCATTTCTAATCTTATTTCTGATCAGAAATGAGCTAAGTCTAGGCTCTTTCTAGCTAGAAAAAATACTCCGAATGGGACTCGAACTCCCATCCTGCTACTTTGTAGGCGGTTGTGTCAACCGCTAGGCCCCATAACCGCATAAGGTAAGATAGTTTTAGCAATCTAATGCAAAGCTAGGGTTATTGTGTATACTCGAAGCATGTTTGTCTCGTTGCGGTTGAGCAGTGAACAGATTTCCGGTTTTTGATTTCCGGAAGTTGTTTACTTCTAAACTAAGAAAGAAATAGATGATCAGAAAACTTTTTTCGACGAGGTTTGTTATCCTCAGACATTGTTTGACTGGCTAGGTGACATTTTTTTGACGTTTTTTGAGGCATTTGAAAAATAGTGAAACGCTCATGTAAGTTAGGAACAATTTAGACCTGCTAGAGACAGTTTTCAATTCCTGATAACTTAATAAATTTTATCGCATAAGAATAATCTTCATTTTCAATTCATCAGATAGTACAAAAAATAGAAAAATTTTGTTAGAATAGAGTCGGTCTTTTAAAAGTCGATTACACGCCGATATTTGTCTGATGAAAAACATCAAAAGCAATTATTTTGTCGCTTTTTTAAAAGCGAGAACAAAAATGAATGCATACAGACAGCAGTTTCAAGGACTCTTTTATGGTAAAATCCTTGAGAACGCTGCTTGTGTGAACTCATTTTTGTGTTCTCTTTTAAATAAAGCAACTAAATGATTGCGTTTGGCGTTTTTGTTTGTTGAGACACATATCGACTTCTTATAACATGCTTTTGTAGAAACAACTCCATTTTTATCAGAGTTTATACATTTTTGTACCCTTTATGAATTTTGATACCGTGCATTGAAAATGAATAAATTTCATCTGCGATTATTTTATATGAAAATATCAGGAACTGAAAACTCTGAGGTTCATTCAGAATGTAACTCAGATAAAAAGTTGGTTCAAATGATGCTTTTTCAAAGCCAATATTGTCATTTTTACTTAAAGTTTTTCGATGGTGAATTTTTTTTATTAGATTTTTTCAGTTGAATCATGAAAATTTTTTCGATCTTAATTTTTT